GATGTCATTTAAATAGGGTGGTGAGGGAAGAGCTCCCTTGATACGACATCTAAGCAGAGAACCTACTGATAATGTAAAGAAACAGGCCTGAGGAAGTATAAGCAATGCTGTTTTGAGCACCAGGAACAGTGAATAATAAAGTCCTTGAGGGAGGAATGAGCTTGTAGTGTTGAAAAACAAATAGATCAGTGTGGTTAAAGAAGAGCAAAGAGGAGATTGGTAATGAGATGGAGAAGTAAGCAAGGGCCAGGCAATACAGGAACTCATAGGTCACAGTAAAAGTGGTTTGGATCCTTTGAAGAGGTTTCTGTGAAGGAAAGATACATGATGAAAATATCTCTTTAGGGGTTCTGCAAACTGCAGGAAGGACAACTGGGGCTAGCTAGGGCTACTGCAGTACTCTATGAGAAAGATGATGGTGGGGTGTACCATGGTGGTTGAGATATAGTCACAAATGGCTGGATTCCAGGCTTTTTAATCCTCACTGGAGAATATTTTTTCCATTGTTTTTCAGATAGAGTGGAAGGGGGAAGAGACAGGGAGGGAGGGAGGGAGGGAAACATCAATGAGAGAGACACATGGTTGGTTGCCTCCCGAACTGGCCCCAACCGACTGGGGCTAGGGATCAAACCTGCAACCCAGGTACGTGCCTTTGGCAGGAGTCCCCAGGCCAACGCTCTAACCATGCGCAAAACTGGCTAGGGCTCCAGACTTATTTTTATTTTATTTTAAATATATCTTTATTGATTTCAGAGAGAGGAAAGGAGAGGGAGAGAGAGACAGAAACATCAATGATGAGTCATTGGGGATGGAGCCTGCAGCCTGGGCATGTACCCTGACCGGGAATTGAACCTTGATCTCCTGGATCCTAGGTCAACGCTCAACCACTGAGCCATGCCCGGCCAGGCCAGGCATATTTTTAAAGGCAGAACTAAGATTGGCAGATAGACTGAGTAGAGGTTGTAAGAAAGAGAATCAAAGATGGTTTTTGGCCTGAGCAACTAGATGAATAGTGGAGCCACTGCTCGCTAGCTAAAGGCAAGACTGGGGGAGGGGCATGTTTTAGAAATAGTGCTGCACCCAGGAATGTGTGCGCATTAAACTACTCATAAAATTATCTCTCCTCCAAAAAGGTTGTATCAATTTATCCTCCTACCAACAACATATAAGCATTCCTATATCCCAATATTTTTGCAAGCAGGGAAACAATTTTAAGTTTTTAAAAATATGTATCTTTATTGATTTCAGAGAGAGGAAGAGAGAGAGAAACATCAATGATGAGTCATTTATCAGCTGCCTCTTGCATGCCCCCTACTGGGGATGGAGCCCAAAACCGGGGCATGTGTCCCGACTGGAAATCGAACCACAATCTTCTGGATCATAGGTTGACGCTCAACGGCTGAGCCATACTGGCCAGGCACAACTTTATTTTAATTTGCATGTTTTTATTAGGAAACTGAGTATTTTTATTGGCCATTTGTACTACTGTGAACTGCCTATTCATATCTTTTATCCATTTGTCTAGTAGATAGATGTGTGCTTTCCTTACTGATTAAGTGTCCTATGTATATTAATAAGTCTAATCTTGTCTGTCACATTGCAAATATTTGTTTTTAGCTATCCATGGTGTCTCTGATAAACAGAAGTGGCTCTTATTTTATGTAGGCACGCAATAAAATGTACCTATAATTAATTCATTGCTATTAAGGGTTTCTATCCCTGGTATCAGCCCCCAAAAGCTTTACATATTTTTTGAATGCTTCAGTTGTTTTCTTAGATTTAAACCTTAACTCCATCTGGAATTTATTCTGTGGTATGGTGTGAGTTCAGGAGGTTCTAACTCCAGACACAAATTTCACAGAGCTGAATCTTTTCCAGCAAAATTGTTTCCATCCACAAACAGCCATTCAACTCCATTCTCTCCAGCCAACTGGCTCCCTCCAGTTCACGTCACAAAGTCACCAACAGCTCTCCCCTAGAACTACCTTCCGCCCTGGACCCTCCTGCTTCCATGGTTAGCGCCCTGCCCCACGGGCTCTTCATGGGACAACCAAAGCAGTTGTTGTTGTTTTTTAATGTAAAATTGATGTTACTTTCCTGCTTCTATAATTTTCCAATGGCTTCCTTTTGAAAATAAAATTAAATCCAGATATCTACCACGATTTACAATAACCCACTTGACCTGCCCCACCCCATGCTTCCCTAGTCCATTTCAATAATACTCTCCTTCTCACCCACTGAATCCCAGCCACACTGGCCTTCTTTCAGCCCCTGGGACACACCAAGTATATTCATTCTTCAGGCCTAGATGACTAGCTGCTTCTCATTCAGGTAATGCCATCTCCTCAGACAGGCCTTCCGGGACCCTGACACCACCCCATCTAAAGTAGCCTCACCTCAGTGACTCTCCATCGCATTACAGCTTCCATTTAAGGCACTTGCCATTAACTAAATAACCTGTTCTTTCATTTACTTGTATGTGTTTTGTGGGTTTCCCCCGACCCTTCCTAGAGAAAGTTCTCTAAAAGGCAAGGTCCTTGTCCTCCTTCAGCTCTGCATCTCCAGCATCTACTGTGGCTATCACATTGCAGGGGCTCAGTTAATATTTATAGACAGGGGAGGGGGGAAAATCTGGAGCTCGGCTTATCTACACTTGCAAAGGGGCCCCTAGAATTCGTCTGATTTCGTTTAACGTCGATACCTCTGCGGTGTGGTGCCACCACTCTTCTCCCCTTTCTTCTTCCCCTCCAGCCTCACCTGCGGCCAAGCTCAACACTTTAGCAAAATTTAACTCTCGGCAGCGGCGAGGCTGGACCCCGCACTGCCTTGGCGCTGCTAACCCATCCCCCCTGCCTGTCACCTAAAGCTGAGAAAAGAGCCAAGTTTCCGCAGCCAACGTCAAACCCCGCCCGCTGCGCTGACCGGAGGAAGAGTGCGAGGGCAGAGCAGCTTACCAGTTCATCCGGACTGAGAACTCCGAACTGCACTCTCTTGATGGTGCGCAGCGGGCATGCGCTGTCCCCGGAGGGGGGGCCACCCCCGTGCATCGCGGAGTCGGGCGCGCTGCGCAGGCGCAAACCTTACTACAAAAAGCCTGAGCCGCCTCCGCCTAAGTGCTCAGACCCCGTCGGGGTGGCCACCGGGAAGGACCTTCCTAAGTTGGGAGGAAAAAGCCGGAGGAGGGAAAGGTTGGGGGAGGGAAGGAGGCGGGGAAATAAAAAGGAGCGAAAGGAGTTTTCCTCCCCTTTTCCGAAGATTTTTCGTCTCTCAAAAAGGAAAAATAAAGAGGAGGGGGAAGGAAAAGGTTTGGGAGGGGGGAGAAGACAAAAGATAACGAATAAATAATTAACCGGGCTCCTGAACGGCACAGGTTACGGCAGTTTGTCTCTCCCCCTTCCGGGAGCCACCTTCTTCTCCAACCGTCCCGGCCGCGCTCTCGGCGCTTCTGAGAAGAGAACTGACCGAATGACGCCTTTTATAGATTCGCCCCTGCATCCCCGCCCCTTCCTTTCCCGCCCTCCCTTGCGCTACAGGGTCAGAGCTGGCCTCGCCGGGCGCGCGCTCCAGTCGTTGCTTCTCCCTTCCCGACTCCTGGGTTGAGCGACCTTTTAAAAAGACAGGGGGAGGGAACTTTTACCTCTCCACCTCCCCAAACTGCCCAGTCCCGCACTGAGGTTTAAGATTTGAAGGACTGAGGGTAAATATAGACCGCTTATATTCTAATTTGGAGTGTATTTTCACCTTCAATAAAAGTTTGGCATTAATATCCCCCCCCGCCAGCTGGGAATGGTCTGTTCTGTGAATCGGTAATGAAGAAGGCGGGGCCGGTCAGTGTTCCGGGAGGGGATAGTGCTGGGGCCGTCCTTGGTCATGAATATGCAGTAATCTCGCTGAATATGCATGATAAATCAAGATGGCGAGGCCGATTGCTTGTCCGGAAGTAGTTATTTGTCGAGAGGCCTCCTGGGACCGGTGGGCATCTTCTGGCCGCTAATGGAGTCCTGTACGGAACTGTAGTGCGGGATTCCCCGGCTAGCGCCGCTCACAGAGACCTCAGCTCAGAGGCCTACTCCGGAAAGAGGCTGGCCGCCGTCTGGGAGAGAGATCACGGGACCATGACAATCCAGGAAAAGCAGATTAGCCACGGGGCGGGACACAAGCCCTGGGGGATTCGGGGTCAAGGCATTTGAACGTTAGGGAATCCTCCCCCTTCTAGAATATTTCGGAAAAAAGATCGGGGTGGGGGGAGGCGGGGTAGGACTTCCACGATACTTCCAAAGCAGAGATGACACAAACTGCACAGCCACATTCAGAGTGATCCTTGTTTGATGTCAACATCACGTCACCACCCCAAGTTGGCCCGGGAGGCGGGCTGCACAACCACCAGGAAGGGAAACCTCACTCAAGGAAAAAGGGCAGACTCCCTTCCCCCAGCGCAGCTGCTCGCTCTGTTTGCCTGAAAGCTCCGAACACTCCAGCCCCAATGCTTTTCTCCCTGTTGCTGGGGGGAAAATCTTCCCAGGGCTCATGGCCTGCCTGCCTCAGCTGCTTTGATCTGCTCCTCAGACCGTATCCCTTAGTTATGCTCTGATCCTCTAGCCCCAGCCTAGATTCCACATCTCTTGGGCCTCAGGCTTGATCCAGGTCTTCCAGGCAGTCCTTTTCCACCAAGTCCCCAAGTTACCCTTGACTCCAAAGGCTGTCCCTCTCCCACATCAGTTCTTTTCCAGTTACTCCATGGTTTTATGCCACTCTCTATTTACCCTTGTCCCTCCACCCCACGCCAACCTCCAGCTCTCAGAAGATGGTGGGTTCAATTCCCTGTCAGGGCACATACCCGGTTTGTGGGTTCAGTCCCTTTTGGGGTGGGTGTGGGAGGCAACCAATTGTTTCTCACATCAATGTTTTCCTTTCTCTGCTCCTTCCTCTCCCTCTAAAAAAAATAATAAATTCAATAAATAAATGAATAAATAAAAAATAAAAGAGAAGATGCCACGGTCTCAATAGAGCACATAATGCTGCAGCATCAGGACCACCACCACCTCAGAGTGCAGGATGGCACATACCAGGGCAGGGTGGGCCTTGGTGACCACCTAGCTCACACACATAAAGGAGACCAGGGCGAGGATCACCACTGCCCCCACACACCTCCAACTCGTAGGATCAATGGGCAGCAAGGGACAGCAGAAAGAGTCCTGGTATGGAGCCCACCAGACCCATCAAGCCAAAAAGGAAGGCCACTGTTGGTAGGCAGGATGGGAAGCCCCAGCGATAGTGCCAGGCTGCCCAGGAAAGCGAGCACATAACTCAGGGCAGTGTAGAGACCCTTCATCCCCTTCCGTTAGTATCCCTAGTCCAGGTCCCACAATAATGATTAGTCCTACTGAAGACAAGTGAGGAGGTTGTGGAGGCAGGGGCAAGGCAAAGGGCAGCTGGAAGAGGCATTGACAGATGAGCAGCTGCAGCAAGGGTAAGTGGGAAGTCTGGTAAGACACCTGGGAAAAGGGGCCCACGAAACCAGCAGGCAGGCCCCCCACCCGGCAGGGCCACAAGCAGACCCTTGGTGGCAGTACAGGTGCCAAGGGAGGCTGGGCAGAGTGGAAGGCCCCAATGGCTGGGTGAAGTCAGGCAGGTTGAAGTAGGGGTGACTGCCAGCTTGTTAGGGAGAAAAAAGCTCGGGCATTAGGACAGCCATAGTCCAGGCGACTTGGGGCAGGGAAAAGGCCAAGCTGCAGTCTAGGACCCAGGGGAGGGGCAGGCGGTTTGCCTGAAAGATGGATGAGGTAGTACAGGGTGGGCCGTTACCCAGTTTCTCTGGGTAAGTTGTTCCCAGAAGGAGAAAAAGAAGATCCAAAAATGCTCTCTTGTTTTGAGGAAGGGGAGGTGGCCTCAGATGCTATGTGTTTATGTGATGTCACAGGTTCCAGGGACATCTGGGTACACCACTGTGAATTTTATTTGTTCCTTCTCTAGGACAGCTGGGAAGTTTTAGGGGAGGAGGGGAAAGGGAGCAGCCAGGAGTTATAGGGAAAGAGGCCATGCCTCCTTAGCCCTCACACTCACCATCTTTTCTTGGACTTGCTCCTACCCTCCTGGCTCAGGGCCCCTGGGCCCCTTCAGAGCACCAGCCATTGTGACCTGGTTGGAGTGGGGGTGGGGTTCTTCGCTGGAATCTTCCTGAGCTGGGGGTGGGAGGTTCTTCCTTGGAACCTCCCTAAGATGGGGTGGGCCTATTTTCTCCTTGTGTACAACTCTGCTTGCTTTATATCTATGCCTGTGACTCCAAAGTTTTTCTGATTCTTTTTTTCTCTTTACGACTAGCTCTGTGATGAGACTTCTTTGGCTTTAATTTGTTTATTGAAAGGTTTCAGAAAGGTTTTTCGGAACGGAGCTCCGAGGGCTGGTTTCTCTGTCTCCTGAGTTTTGAATTTTTGAACACCAGGGAGGAGTCTTTGGGACTGTCCCTCTGGAGTTTCAGGAATATGTTTCTTCTGTGTGTGCTTCCACCTGTTTCGTTGGTGCTGTCCCAGGAGGCCCACACCAAGGCCTCTGCATTTACCGACAAGTACATAGAATTGGATATTTCCTCTGGTGGACAAAATACCTAGCTGCGTGTTCATCTGCGCTGGTAGTCATTTATGTGTGCCTATTCTGAAAGGCTGGGTATTCCTGGCCCTCGGGGGTCCCCTGCATTTCTGGGGATGATGATGATGATGATTGGTGTGTGTGTGTGTGTGTGTGTGTGTGTGTGTGTGTGTGTGTGTGTGTGTCCTGGCCCTGTGTGTTGAGCCTGGCTCTGCGGGTCACACCGGGGCCTGATTGCCAGCCTGCCATGTTGTGGGTCTGAGCCCTGAGTGGGTGTGCTTGCTCCGGGCGGTGTGCAACGCTGAGTGAAGGGCATTTAAGGGGGGCGGGGGGCTGTCCCTTCCTAGGGAGTGGGTGGTCGTGTGATCCTGCGGGAGTGCTGCAGCCAGGCCCGCGCCCCGCTGGATGCCCAGCCGTCCGGCGGCCCAGCGCACAGCCGTTCCCCTCCCGGGATCGGTCCGGGCAAAGGCCGTAGGGCGCGCTTGCCCCAACCCGAGCCCGGAGCCTTGCGTCGGTGTGGGCTGCACTACGCCGGCCTTCTCTCGGCGGCAGCGGCGCTGGGGGGGACTGTTTC